CAGGTAACCAAAATTTCACTGCGGCTCAAATGTGAAAAGGTCTTGGACATTATTAACTCAAATGAACAAGTGGGAGTTAAGACTTATGAGGTCTGGATCCAGGTTAAAAACCATGAACTGGAATTATGTTTCTCTTTGTGGTGCCAAGAACTTCCTGGCCTGGGGGTAGATTAAGTCAATTCATAGTGTATATCTCTGTCTACTATCTTGAAAAACCGAAAATATCTCCTTTCTGTCAAATACAGTTTGCTATCATGCTACTACCCTCACTAACTTAGATTTATCTAAGTTATTCCTAACTGCAATATCTTTTTCAGGCCCACAGCATACAGGTGGGCATGCTATGAAACATATTTCAAGGTAGCCCCTGTCACACAGAGACATGACTGTACAGGTGTAGGTGGCAGACTTGATTGCTTTCATAAAGAAGAAGTTCCAAAAGGAGGGGAATTTTATTTTTCATATTTACCATGGTACCCCAGAACTTAGCACACTTCTAGGAATATAATAAACAGTGAATAAACATTTGTCAAATGCCTAAATGAATAAGTAAATGATAACGTGCTACCATTTAAATTGAGCATTCAAATTTATTTTAATTGTAAGCCCAGTAACAATATTTCCAAACAAAAATGACAGCATGTGGTCTGCCAAATATAGGTATAGTTAGGAGAAGTGTATTTGAAATTACAACTGTCCTAGCAATTTTGATCCATATGGTCATCATAACAATAGTCATTGAACTAAATCACTTGGAGAAAATATAGATTTTCATAAAAATCATGTTTATTAGAGAGAATATGTTTCATTATTCTAAAAACATTGTTAATAAATACAAGTATCTAAAATTGCCTTGGCAATAAAACATTTATCCTCTGAGTTTGCTCTAGGTTTGATCAAATACTGAGAAGCAGGCTTCTTTCTCTCTGAAGATTTTACACATCGCATAAGGATACAATTTTGTGAGTATCTTAAAAGTGACATTAATAAATAATATGTTCAATTATCCTATATTTGTAGTCAATATGCTGCCAAATTTAAAATATCGATGGAGCTTACCAAGCCAAAAATCTTGAACTTTAACCAGGAAACTTTAGAAATAGGAAAGATATATAGAAAAACTGTAGAAATAAATAGAAAAACTGTAAAAATACACCTGGACCAATAGTTTTAGGAAGGTTGTTAGCAAAATATCCAAGTCTATAGTCCTGTCTGAACTCCCAACTCTTAATTCAGCCACTATGAGAAAGACTTTTCTGGTCTCAGCACATCTTAGAGTGACCCCTCAATTCGTTAGTTAATTTAAGTAAAAGCAAGATGATGAGTGGAAATGTTGTGGTGTTTAGGGCTTACTTCCTAGCAAAAATGAAAGCACATTGTTTTATATACTACAGAAATTGACATACTCAGCTACAAGTTACCTCGAGGACCTCATCATGATGGAAAGTCCCCCAAGTGCAGCTTAGGGGGAAACAAACCAGGGAAAATGGTGGCCTCCAAAAGAAATCATATTTGAATATGGAATATTTGAAATGGATTAGGGTTTGTTCCAAGCCCAGTCTCCATATGGGCCAGTGTATCTAAGAGTTACTGTCTTTTCTCAGTTAAATAAACCCTTCAAATCTCTCTGAACTTCAGTTTCCTTGTCTGTAAAAGAGAAGGATAAAGCATAGCTTCCTTACAGTTCAAACGGTCATTAGGAAGACCAAATGAAATAACTTATGCAGAAATACTTCATACATTTTCAAGCAACCTGTTAGCAAAAGCTATAAATGTTCATTGTTATTCACTCTTTGGTTACCTGTTTCTCTAACAGCTTTGGGATCCCAGAACACAATAATGCATTTTATGACTGCGTTTGTCCTCCTCGGTTTCATTTGTCAAAGTGAGATGCAGAACTTCTTCTTCTCATTAATTCTGGTGGTATATCTCCTGACCCAGCTGGGGAATGGGGCTATTGCCTCTGCAGTGAAAATGGGACAGGCAACTTCATAGGCCCATGTACGCCTTCTTGGGAACCTTTGCCTTCCTAGAGATTTGGAACGTTTCTTCCACTGTCCTGAACATTGGATCAACATCCTCTCTGACACCAAGACCATCTCCTTCATTGGCTACTTCCTCCAATTCTATTTCTTTTTTTCACTGGGTACAACAAAGTATTTCTTCTTATCAGTTAAGTTTTATGATCAGTACCTGGCCATCTGTCATCCACTACATTACCCCTCTATCATGACTGGGAAGTTCTATGTGATCCTAGTCTGTGTTTGCTGGGTGAGTGGATTTCTCTGCTCTCCAGTCCCCATTGTTCTTATCTCATAACTTCCCTTCTGTGGACCCAACCTCATTGACCATTTCATGTGTGATCCAGTCCCAATTTCTGTACTAGCCTGCATCCCTTCCCCTTCCACAGAGCTTATCTGTTACACCTTCAACTCAAGGATTATCTTTGGGCCCTTCCTTTCCATCTTGGGATCTTACACTCGGTACTCAAAGCTGTGTTTCATGCTCCCTCTGGTGCTGGTTGAACTAAAGCTTCCTCCACATCCGAGTCCCACCTAATGGTGGTGTCATTATTCTGTGAAAGCCTTATGATGATGTATGTGAATCCAACATTAGGGAACCCAGCAGGAATGCAGAAGATCATCATCACTTTGGTATACTTAGCAGTCACTCCACTTTTAAACACCCCTATCTCTAGTATTTGAAACAAAGACATGTGAGATGCCCTAAAGAAAGTCCTGGGATTAAGAATTGACCAGAACTGAGACATTGTTGAAAGAGAAGGAGCAATTGTCACTTCTGACTTTACTTATTGATAACAACAATAGAGACTGGTCTCAGTAAGTCATATTTTGTCTCTTGCTTAAGTAGAGGGACAGTCTTAACTAAAAGGATGGACTTTCATTTTAAATAGATTGGCCTCTCAGCTGATGGGTTTCCTGTTTAGCATGGTGTTTGGGCACAAAAATGGAATTTATTCTTCGTATAATTTTCTTTCAATACTTTTCTGACTAAAACTTTGCCCTACAGCCTTCTGAGAGGCATAAAATAAGGACACAGTTCCTTAGCAGTTCAAGTTGAGCTGATTGATGATAAATGCTCAATAAAACATTTTAAACATGCATGACCTCACTGAGTAATTATATGGTGTTATTATATATATTCTTTTTCTGTGAAGTATCTTTACTGGTTTAATCTTAGCTGGTAGAGGGAATCAAATACATATGCACCTGGAGCCTTTCAAAGGAGGGTGAAATCTTGTAAATTCAGAAAATAAATATTCTCAAAGGCAAAAGGGCAAGGTGCCACACAAAAACAAACAAAAAATAAACACCTAGTAATGTAAGCTTTCCATTGTTTGAGGCTTTCACATCAAAAACACTGTATGCTTCATATTTCTACCACTTAAAGTACAAACTCTTCTTTCTGCCATTCAAAGCCCTCACTCAATACTCTGCTCCATTCGGCCTTCTCTCCTACTGATCTACTGTCTAAGCCCTGCAGTGCACAGTAGCCAATCTTCTTATTTTACCTTAAATTCATTTTCTCCCAATTGAGCAACTTTACTCATAGTGCTTCCTCTCCATATCAATTGTGACAGCCCCATCACCAATTGTAATGGGAGTAACAATGCCTTACACATATTTTATGCCTCTCAGAAGGCTGTAGGGCAAAGTTTTAGTCAGAAAAGTATTGAAAGAACATTATACGAAGAATAAATTCCATTTTTGTGCCCAAACACCATGCTAAACAGGAAACCCATCAGCTGAGAGGCCAATCTATTTAAAATGAGAGTCCATCCTTTTAGTTAAGGCCATACTGAGAATTAAATTAGGTGCGCTAGGAAGAGAGGCCCGCTGGTGCTAGGTGATGAAGTAATCTAGCACGGTGTTTCTCAAACCTTTCTACAACCAAAGCATATTTGGCAACAGTGGTCAGAAAATACTTGTAGACAATATTTGCGGACAATATTTGCATTTGCAGGCAATATTTCTTTGAAATGCAAAATTTTATTTTAAAGATATCATTAATTATACCTTCTGACTCAATGTACATACATATTTGGTGTAATACAAAATTATCTTTCCTGAGTAAAATTGTCCATTCAGGAGTACATTTAATTAGGGGCTTTGTGTATCTCATAGCACAAAATCACATACCTTGTTTGAGAAACATAAGCTCAAGGAGTCCACGGGGTCCTCCCAGAGTCAATGGAGCACTTTTTTCTCTTTTTTTTTTTTTGAGGAAGATTAGCCCTGAGCTAACTACTGCCAGTCCTCCTCTTTTTGCTGAGGAAGACTGGCCCTGAGCTAACATTGTGCCCCTCTTCCTCTACTTTATATGTGGGACGCCTCCCACAGCATGGTGTGCCGAGCAGCGCCATGTCTGCACCCAGGATCCGAACCAGCGAACCCCGGGCCACCGAGAAGCGGAACATGCGAACTTACCGACTGCGCCACTGGGGCGGCCCCTGGAGCACATTATTTTTAATAATCCCTGTGGGCCAACTTATCAGAAATATCAATGAAACCCCCAGGCAAAAAGTGAGAAGGTCCCTACAGAAAGCTTGGAAACTTATAGGATCACATGAAGAGATACCTGAGAATTTTCAGCAGTGGTTAAAATGACACATAAATTAAGACCAGCACATAGTTTCAACACACTGTAAGAAACAGGACTCTAGAATCCTACGGTGCAGGGGGAGTGAAATAAGCCATGCAGGAAGCTCTCAAACAGGACTCTCACATTAAAGCCAGGGAAGGAGAGTATCTGCGAACTCGCCTTTGTGACCATCCTAAGGATTGGATTACCATTTCCCAGGATGATTCATGATATATAGGAGACGTCCTTTTTGATGGACACTACTGCTGTTATACATCACAGGTGAGCCTATTCATCTAGATATTTGTTCATTCAATATGTTCAAGAGATTATCAAAGAATATTGGTTTCTCTTGCAGCTCAAGAAAGAAAAAAATTCACCTGAGTATTTAGATTACCATGGAATTCATGCTCTCCAAAATAAGTGCGCTGAATGCTGCCGACATCATCCGCAGGTCTTCTTCTCAGGAAGTGGCTGGAGATCCAGGAATGGTATGACTTCTATAGATATTTTGAACAAAACAGTATGGAACTACCTCTGTCTACTGGGACTGAAAGCAAAAGGAAATAGGGATTTTTTTTGTGGTCACCTCTTTCAGCTCTCCCCTCTTTCTCCATATCATTACTCATCCACACCTTTAGGAGAGGTGGTATTAAAAATTTTTTTAAGCATAAAACAAACCAGTGTGTATGAGGACTAAGATTCACATAGATTTTAATGATGAATATATTAGGAATGTCTTACGATTACGTTGCAAATTATCTGTGAAATCAATTTCCCATGCTTTCCCTACAACTGACTAATAGTTTTTCTATAAAGCTTTTTTTTTCTTTTAATGTCAAAAAGAGTAGTCTATAGCTCAGATATATAGAGCTAAATGTTTAGTATTTTGATTTTGAGTCAAAGTCTGTGAATCTGAGTTCAAGTCATGGATGCTGCTGTTCCGGGGGTGAGTGGCTGCTCTCTGCATCACTGCTTTCTTGTCCTGTTGAGAAGATAAGTCTCTTGCTTGGAAAGTGCAGTTTCCATAGGTGGGTAATAGATTTTCACGATGTCTCACCAAAATGATCATGAATACAGATTAGTTTAACTCTTCATAATCATCCTGGTTTAAAAAATTAGTGAGAATTTAGCCACATCTTTCAATTTCCTTGTATTCTTGTTTTTTTATCCACAAGACTACAACCTGCTTTAACATAACCGGCCCCTTTTCTTCCAGATGAGGATGCATTATTAATTTAGTGAGCCCTCAACAGCTGCATCAATAGAAATATATATATCTTATTTAATTTGATCTCACTGAATACAAGGGGTTTTTTTCTACTTATGTTCAGTAAGTACACAAATATTCTATATACAACATTTCTATCAAAATTATTTTTAAGGAAAATTCTCCTCTTATTAGTCAAAAAAATTAAAAATATCTTGTTAAAAAATTTCTGCAGATTCCAATATGTTAAAGCTATCATTTTGCTCTTTTCTCCGAGTTGTATTTCAATCTTAAAAAGACGTCTTCATTGATGATGGCTTTCTAAAGAGATAAAGGTCAAATTTTGGAATACGGGTAAATAATTATTTTTGAACAACTTTGATTCTCTTGTTTTCTGATATTTTAAAAGTTGGGAGCTATTTCTTAAATAGATTAAAGTAAGATCTCCCAAATAGTGAATTGTAAGGGAAACTCATGGCACTAATAAGAGGAGGTTTATAAGAGAATCTCTTAGTGACTTGAAGTTTCTTCTCCAATATATCTCATATGCCATATTCATCTTTAGAGACACGTATTTTAAATATGTATGCAACAGGAGTGCCCCTTGACATAGAATCAAGTAATGTCCTGAACAAACCTGACCCAGAGAAAGGGTTCTAGCACACCACAGCATCCTTATCCCAGAGAGTAGACCTATTTCAAGATGGTCTGATTACTGATGTTAATGTTATCTTTCGGGATGCCTCTCCAGATGGCCTTATGTGGTATGTTCTCAGGTAGTTTTCCCCAGGAAATGTTGATGAGTTTATTCTTGAAATTGATACATAATGGTATTAGAGAGAATAAATCAACAGGTTAGGTTGTAATATAGCCAACTGTTAAGTAATTTCTAAGTGACATCAAAAGTCCCACCTTTTTCCTGCTCCAGAATCACATGATCCAACAAGGCACCTACCTACCAGTGGCTGCATTAGGAGAGTACTCACGAGTATTTAGCAAATGCACTTAACCATTCATTTAAAAACATTACAGAAAGCTTTCTAGATGCAAGGATCACGTGTATCCCCAGCCACCCCCATGAACTGCTGTTTTACATAGCAATAACCTCAGCCTACTCTTAAAACAGTAGTTGCCAGGAAGAGAGCTAACCCAGTATATTTAGTTTAAGAAGAGAGAAAAGAATTATACATCGTAATGTCAATATGCATTGCATTCTCCTACTTAAGGCAAGCTACATGAGGTTGAGATTTTAATCTATTTTGTTCACTGTTGTATGCCCAGTACCTGGAAAAAATACTCCACAAATAATAAACATTGAATGAATACTGAATAAACAAACATCTCAGTTTTGAGTTTGGATGAAGGAAATGAATTCTCTGTGCTTTTCCAGGGGTATTTAGTAATTATAGTTCCTTTCACAGTACAGACCCATGAAAAACTCCAACATCCTTAACAACTCCAGCACCATCACTGGCTTCATCCTCCTGGGCTTCCCTTGCCCCAGGGAGGGGCAGATCCTCCTCTTTCTGCTCTTCTCTGTTGTCTACCTCCTGACCCTCATGGGCAATGGTTCCATCATCTGTGCTGTGCGCTGGGATCAGAGACTCCACACCCCCATGTACATCCTGCTCGCCAACTTCTCCTTCCTGGAGATCTGCTACGTCACCTCCACTGTCCCCAACATGTTGGCCAACTTCCTCTCTGACACCAAGGTCATCTCCTTCTCTGGGTGCTTTGTCCAGTTCTACTTTTTCTTCTCCTTGGGTTCTACAGAATGCTTTTTCTTGGCTATTATGGCATTTGATCGATACCTTGCTATCTGCTGGCCCCTACGTTACCCCACTCTTATGACTGGACGTCTCTGCACCAATCTTGTGGTCAGCTGCTGGGTACTTGGTTTCCTCTGGTTCCCAGTCCCTATCATCATCATTTCCCAGATGTCCTTCCGTGGATCTAAGATTATTGACCACTTCCTCTGTGACCCCGGTCCTTTGTTAGCACTCGCCTGTGCCAGAGCCCCAGTAATGGAGTTTTATTGGACTTTCATAAGTTCTTTGCTGTTATTTATGCCTTTTCTCTGCATCATGGGGTCCTATGCTCTGCTCCTGAGAGCTGTGTTTAGTTTGTCTTCAGCAGCCGGACGAAGAAAGGCTTTCTCCACCTGTGGTTCTCATCTGGCTGTGGTTTCACTCTTCTATGGGTCAGTGATGGTCATGTATCTGAGCCCAGCATCTGAACATGAAGCTGGAATGCAGAAGCTTGTGACTCTGTTTTATTCTGTGGGAACCCCACTCATTAATCCCGTGATCTATAGTCTGAGGAACAAAGATATGAAACATGCCCTGAAGAAATTTATGGGAACATAAAAATTAGAGATTAATTGAGAAAAATAATCTTTAGGCAATTGGTCTATCTTCACACTTTTTCAGGTAAACAAATTTAAGTAAATAACTAGTACCACTCTAAGAATTGCTCATCCTACTATTGAACCTATTCGTTACTGCTGTTTGTACTTTTCCTACAATTGTTAGGGTGAAAAAATGACTCAGAGACTTTATCCAATCCCCTAATTTTTCAGATGAAAAGCTGGAGAATGGGAATTTTGAGTGATTTGCTCTGGTCGTAACTTTATAATGCAAAGAAAAACCTTGCTATTTTTTAAAGAATTGCTCTATTTTACTCATAAAGAGAAAAATACGTCATAAGCAATAAGAATAATTGTGTTTTTTTTGCCATTCAGATGTGCAGCCATCAAATACTCTTTCATCTGAGGAAGGGAAAAATATATACATTACTGATAGAGGTGTAAAGTGGTACAAATACTACTTAGGATAAATTGCAAACTATTTAACACAATTTAAAATGCACATATCCATTAACTCAGCAATTGTACTAACTCCTAGATACTTAGCCTACCCATATAAGCATACATATGTGAAAATACGTATGTACAAGAATATTCATTGCAACATTGTTTGTAATGGAAAATTATTAGAAACCACTTAAATGACCATTTATTGAGAACTAGTTAGATAAATTATGGTGTATCCATGCAATAGAATATGATGCAACATCTTTTAAATGAAGAAGTTTCAGATATACATATATGGAACCACCTTCAAGTTATATTGATAAATGAATAAATGATGTATAGTATGTAAGCTGTCATATATGTATAAAATTATAAATTTGTGTGTGTGTTTAAAAAAAGGATAGAATATCTTTCAAAGGACAGATAAGAAATCTAACAATGGTTGCATTTGGGAAGAGTGGGTGTTTTGGATGCAAAAGAATGACAGATTTGTTCTCACTGTGTACTCTGGTATCTTTCATAAAAACTTCTATAGATGATGATGATGATGATGATGATGATGATTATATCTCTACTGGTAAATTTTCTGAATATTGGAACCTAAGAACCAGTTCACCACAATTCCTAGGTTCCTTGGGGAATCTATGAAGCAGGCTGCCTTTCATGGCAAACAAAGCCGTGGATCCATGAAACAAAAGCCAGGATCCAGGAACCCACAAATGTCATTCATTCAGAATTATTGGTACTGGAGAGAGAACGTGGGAAATTACTTGTCCTCATATGATTTCTGGGAGAAAATAAACTGTGTTAAAGTTATAACTAGTCTCTTTTCAGAACTATTATATTTATATCTTATTGTTCACTCATTTATTTAAAAAATATTTAATAAATACCTTCAGTATGTCAGATACAGAGCTAGGAAATGTCACATTTTAGTCCCTCATGGAGTTGACAGTCTAGGATGAGAAAAAAATTGAGTTGTGATATATACTATGACCAAGAGAGATATTAGTTGCCATAGGAGTCAGCTGGGGAACAGTATGTGCAAAGTATGGAGAGGTAAGGGGTGAGAGAGCAGGCAATTGAAGTATTTCCACACGGCTAACTTCAGCTCATGATCTACAGGGTCACTACAAGATAAAGGTCATCGTGTCCCTAGAAAGGGTCTATGAAACTCTTTAAAAAAGCCCCTCTCGTGTTTTACAATTTACTGCTACTACAGGCAAAGAAGTCTGACTGTAAAAAATGATAAAAAATAAAATCCAAAATGCATTTTTAAAAAATGTGTGCAATAAAAAATGGATTGTTTTATGACTAAGATGTGAAAGCTACTCTTCAAGAGACATGGAACTTCAAACAGCCCATCTGATTTCCCTTAGGGTTGGAACCACAAAAGCTGGAAACTGCTTCAGCTCTTTGCCCTACCCCTTACCTTCAGCATTATATCTCAAAGTAAAGATCAGTTTTTTTCCATTCAATATGCATTTGTAACATAGTAATTATTTTATAATGAAAATATCCTAATTTCTCTCTTTTTCAATTTACACAATACTTGTTCATTGTAAACATTTTTTAAACAAAAAGGATAAGCAGGATTAAATCACCTAAAATTCCACTGTCCTAAGATAGCTGTCATTAAATTTTAGGTAATAATCTCCTCAGATGTGTCTATATGCATATGTATATTATATGTAGTATATAATATGTATTACTATATATAATTTATTCATATATAATATATACACACACATTCATATATATAGGTCTACGAATATGGTCACAACAGACATGCTGTCTCTTACAGAAGCCATCCTTCATTTTTATTTTCTTAACTTTTCTTCCCTTCGTTCCTTCTTCACTTCTCCCCACAACCACTGCACACTCTAGTTAAATAAGCAATATTAATAACCTAATGTGTATCCTTCTACATTATTCTTTATGTCCATGTACTTATATACTTATACACACGCACGTACCCATGTATTTTCACTCACCCATATTCCTGTGCATATGTTTCATACCCATGCACACATATACTATCATAAATATGGATGCTGCAATTGTCTTAAAATAAGGGATTATTTAGTGTAAACTTCTTCACATCTCCCCTTTTTCTCTTAACATTATGTCGATGGATTCCTTCCAAGTCTACTATAAAGTTTAACTCATTCTTCTCATTAGCCATTTCATAGTCCACTTAGCACTATTTACTCAGCTGTTTCTCTATTTATATGCATTAACTTCATTTCCTGTTTTGTCCCTATAAATAATAGTGCAATACACACACATACATATTCTAAAATACTTATGTCTTTATTTTTATGAGATTGACTTCCAGGAGTATATTTTTGGATCAAAGAGCAATACACATAATAGATACTTTTAGATTATTTTCACTCAAGGCTGTACGCAATCACATTTCCATGATCAATATGAGTACCCTATTTACCCCTAGAAGCTAATATAATAACTTTAAATTTTGGTATTCTAGTAGGTCAGAAGAGTTAACTCACTTCTATTAGTGATAAACTTTAGCTGTTTTTTCATGTCATTGGCCAATGGCTTTTCTCTATTATGATTTGCCTAATGTCTTTATCCTTTTTAAAATTATTTATATTTTTCTTAAGTAACCTTTATTTTAGATATTGACCTTTCATTTGCCAAGTGTATTGCAAATATTTTTCTCTAATCTTTCATTTCATTTTTGTGTAGACTACATTTACTAAAATTTGGTTACACATTCAGAATATCTTTTTTTTCTTTGTACTAATAATAGCTAGAGACTTATAAAGAATAAAAACAGGTCAGTCCGGATTGTCTGAAGTGGATTATTGCCCCACACACTTCACTAAAACAAGAAAAAATAGAGATTCGGGGCTGTACAAAGGCAATTCATGAGCTTTGTTAATTCTCATTCCATAAAAGACATACTGAGGGTAAGATTCATATTACAGTCAAGTAAGCTGGAGATGAAAGGGTTTGAGATTGGCATTGCTGTAGAATATATCAATGTTATGATGTAATAACTGTTTGCGTTTTAACTGAGCTCCAAGATTTGGGACTCAGGGAATGGAAGACATATTCTATGAAGGGGATGGAGATACAGGACAGAATATCAGTAGGTCCACATCACACAGAAAGTAATCAATTATGTTAGAGAAAGGAGGGTTTAATGAAGATTATGCATATGAGGACATCAATGAGTGATCACGAGGATACCAGAATGCCCAGAGCCACCCATGATGGTGGACTAGTGCAGCAGATATTCAGATACCAGTCGTTTGTAAGGAAAGAGAGCCAGAAGCATTTAATTGTGTCTAGGGAAATAAAGCATACTGAGCAAAGCAGCCAGAGAAAGACATGGTGTTTGATTGAATATTGATCAATGTTTTGTGGGTTGTGCAGAGAACATAAAGAATGCCTCAACACTGTCATTGCCTCAACAATTCATCAACAGGGGCTCAAAGAACAATGGACTCAAACACCCATGACCTAGGTGTCAGTTCTGGTCTTGCCACTTATTAGATGTGCAATGGCGGAAACTGACTAAAATCCTCTGAGTTGAGTTCCCTTGGATGTAAAGGTAAAATTAAATCGAGCCTTTCTAAATCCTATACACAGCTCTAACTACTGTTAAGTCCTAGACAAACAGCAATTATTTTTGTGAGGATCATTCCATATGTCTGCCTTAGGCTGTGAATGGAGTAAAAAGTCACACCAGAAGGGTTTATGGTCAGTCTTTAACTCACAATTCAGTAACGTTACTGAGAGAGTATTAGAAACTTAAGCTTATTTACTAAATAGCTTATCTTTAAACATTGGTAGGAGATAAAGTGATATACAGGAGACAGGAATATCTACAGACAACCTAGAGTCTTCTGGAACCAGCTTTGCTTGAACCTACCATTGAGTGGGCCGATTACAAGACCTGGGTCTACACTGCCCTAGACCAGTGTGGTAGGCACAATAGCAATGTCCTGAAGATATCGATGCCCTAATTTCTAAACCTGTGAATATGTGACTTTGCATGTGTAGGGGAGGAAGACAATTCCTCTTCCCAAATGTGGGTTCGTCTGGCCAGAGGACGAATTAAATTCACATGAGACAGAATAGCAAGAGAAAATTAAACAAAGCTTTATGAGGAACCATGGCCTGGGGACTTTCTTCCCAAAGGAAGAAAGGGCACCCAAGAAGTGGGGTACACAGAGTGGTTATATACCCCCAAACAGGGTGTTTCACATGTGATTGAAATGTCCCTCCCACAATAGTCACAAGATTGCTCTGTCGGCACAGTGCTTGATGGACACAGCAGGTAGTGGTCTGCTATCTCGGTGGGTGTAGCAGGCCGCAAGTCTATTGTCTGGAGCTGGGCGGTCACAGGTGAGCGCAGCAATCAGTTCCTTCCCTAAGGAAAGATGCTTAATCCTTAAAGAAATGCCAATGTTGGGAGGGGGGGAGAAGTTAGTTATAGGAGGTTACCAGACAAGCACAATAAAATGCAGATTTAAGTCCTTGCCTTTGGTATTGATTAAGAGTTTCTAGAGAGAAGGTCAT